GTAAATATAAGCTCACAAGTAAAATAAAGGAAAATGTTCAAATTAGCATATATAAAAAAAGTAACTTGAAACAGAAATAAATGGAACGCCACTTTATATAAAATTATAGATAAAATCATAAGCTAAGGAAACGATAATACATCTTTTATATTTTTATTGATGAGAAAAATCAAATCTTTGATTGTTAATGGAAAACTTTATGACGATATCTCGCGATTTAAACAGCAAAGTAACTGTTCTTTTAAGGTAGATATTGCCATTGTTGATAGTGATAAAGTTAGCTTTTTAATGATAACGTTGTTATAATACTAAATGTGATACCTTTCGCTCTGTTTTTTTTTTTGGTAAAGTTACCAAATAATTCAAAAATAATTACAGTTTATATCATACTGTTTGCCTTTTTCTTATGATTTGTTTATTTATTATTTCGTCATTTTTCGAGACTGTCGTACCAATTTTGATGTATTGGAGATTAAGATTAAATCATTATTATTAACATCATTTTGGAAAATACTTTTAAACTTTTTATTTCCCATCGGGTTTTTTATGTGTCCCTATATGATTACTTTTCTCATATGAAATCTTCAGTTCTAACGCTTATTAAAAAAGAATAGTAATCGAAACTAGAATTATTAAAAATTTCGTCGTACGAATCTTTTAAATTCATTGTAATTGAAATTTTGAGATTTTTTTTCAGTTTGTTTGATTTTATTTTTCGAAAAAAAAACTTACACTGTGATTTGAGGGTTAAGTTCACATGTAGTCATAATAGTGTTGCTCAAGTATAATCACTTATAAATTTTATGGGAGTTTGTTACTCTGATGATTGCGACCTTGGCAGGCATTATTAACGATATATAGCACAATATTCTGTTAACTCTATAACAATACCAAAGATACCCGCTCCAAGTGTGGCATCCATCCTCGTAGGCTTCACGAGGATGGTGGGTCAACGTGTGTGTGTCATTCTCCTCATTAAGGCAGTAGTAAGGGGGAAATTGAGATGGTCGTTAATCTCGTAAAAGTAAGAAGGTCGATGTAATAAGATATTTTACAATATATCTGGGGCATACTCAAGAGCCCCCTGAAACTTTCATGGTCATTGAAAGTCGGAAAACTATAAAACTTTCGTTACGGACAAACAAACAGACATAAGCCATTTTATAGTATAATTTCCATCAGTAATAAGCGACTGAATAACTTATTTCTCTACTAATTGCTCTGAATGAGCTTCCTAATCCTAAAACTAATTGTTTTATAGCGGAATGTGGATACTATTTTTAGAAATGTACAGAATTCGGGGATTATCTATTCAGTAATGGGAGGCATTAGTTCTAACAGTGTGTGATTACATAATGTTTGTGTGTCTGAAGGTACCACACTTACCAAAAACACCTTGGATACTTGCTGCATTATTTCAATACTTTATTCATTAGTAGTAGTGTAACATTCTTGGTATTACGTTTCAGAGATCGTTCTGATGGGTCGTTAAACCCATACATTTTTAAGCAAAAGGTTTGTTGTAGATTTATTTATAAAGTATATTTTCTTGAAATGTTTAGACTAACTCTCGAGAAAAATGAGCCAATTGGCCGTTACTGATCTAACAACATTTGCTGTCGTAACTATTGATATTGTAAAGAAAATGTACATAATGAAAGAATGATATTGATAGAAAGCATCACTTAACGATCGTCAATAAGAAAAAATAGATATTGCTGTACACACAAAAACACATGGTGAGGAAAAGTCACTATACACTTGGTACAGTTGGTAGTGTTGGTATTATACTGTTGGTACTAAAGAAATACTACGAAGACAAATGCAATCAATTTAATTTTTATTTGTTTTTAGTTCCAAAAATGGTCTATAGTGTTAAGGCTCGTGGTGGGGGAGAAGAATAAGAAGCTAATTCAAGGTTTAGATATTATTACTTTTGAACCCAGGCAAGAATTTCACGTGCTTTAAGATCATTTGGTAACAAAACATTGATCTGCAAACTAAAATCATTCCAGAGCTTTTCGACCATGTTCATTTAAAATCTCATTATAACCCTAAGCATTTAAACGTGCGAATACTTCGCAGTTAGGTCCCAAACCTAACGTGTAGAGTGCAGCTTATACCACATTACTCCACCACAGATTGTTAATATGTCCCCATCCCTCCAGACCTATATTCAGCCATCGCTTGGAAACTGGATGAAGTGACTCTCATCATTTCACGGCGTTTGCAAGTAATCACGATGCCAGTGCTAACGAATTTCGTTATAATTTGCTGATCACAGCCTTCCATAGTAATCATAAACGTAGAAAGCACGCTACATAGACTAACAGATATGGTGGTTGTTCACATACAAAATTATTGGTTACAGCTAATTCACTGAGAATTTGTCACAAAGATGACTTCCAGTACCTTTTCACAATCCTGAAAAGTGAAGATTGTTTCATTTGACAACTCTTTCGGCCAAACTGATTTCTGTAGATGTTATACTGTTAAGTTCCGACACTGTTCTCTAATCATTGCTTCTGTTTCGTGTATCGACTTCCACATTTCCACGAGTATATAGTTTTTAGTCCGTAAAGTTAATCTAAGTCAGAAAGTTGAGGTATCTTATACACGCATCATCACTATCATATACATTGTGTTCCCTTTCGAATCATGCTGGCTGAGGTTAATTCTCGTGTTTAAAGAGTATCCAAATAATTTTGGCGGTGCAGAGTATTGATTTGAAAGATATTTTCCACCTTTAAAAATTACTCTAGTAATTATACAAGAGGACATTTTGTGCAAGGAAGACTCAATAAGACTCAAAATTCTTTATTGACCAATTGTAAGTCCCCCGGTGGGACAGCAGTAAGTCTTGGGATTTACAACGCTAGAATCAGGGGTTCGATTTCCCTCGGTGGACACAGAAGATAGCCCGATGTGGCTTTGCTATAAGAAAACACACACACAAACAACTGTAAGTTCGAAGTCCACTGAACTAATCACATCATCTGTTATTACGGGGTAAATATAATGAGTGATTGAATTGGGACATAATAACAACAAGTTAGTTCAGTAGAGTATATCTAAATTTGAATGTATGAGCTAGGAGAAATATTCTAATACTTTTTAATATCGTTAAAAATTAAAACCTGCTTTTATTGGCTGGATGGATAAAATGAGTTAAAATGTTAAGACAAACACGTTAAGAAGATGATAAGAACCAATAAATATCCATCGTAAATACCAAAATATTCACTTTTTTAATAAAATGTAGAAGTACCTTAAATAGTGTCATAAAATAAAAGATTGCAAAACAACATCAGTCCTTTCAAGCAACTGTTTCATTTCGTCTATCTTTTACATATGTATAATTAGAATTATTAATTTTAATGATGTATTAAATATGCTTTGAAAATATGCTTTAGTAGATGATTGGCCAAGTTTTGTTTGTAATTTTCTGTAAGAGATTGGTTTATTGGACAAGACAAGTTATATTTCACAAGTTCATGACGCAAGTAACTAGATACGCTTTTGAAAGTATCATTGTAATTACTATGATAGATTACATTTTACAACTTACAATAAAGAGTCATAATCAATCGCTTTATCACCATAAATTACATAGCTCCCTAAGGCACCGTCACATTATCACAAGTAGTATTACGTAAAACAATGCTTGAAACCTTCTGTACACTTACAGTTTTTTCATTAAATAAAATCCACGATACTTCTATGAGGTTAGAAATTGTGATACAAATTTAAGCTTGCTCTCAAAATCGGGCCCGGCAAGGCCAGGTGGATAAGGCGCTCGAATCTGCGGGTTGCGGGTTCGAATCCCGTCGCA